ATTCCTGCTTTTATTCTCTTTTCCAAAACGACAAAGCAAACGTATTTAATTGTTGTGTGTGTACAAACAATCCGACAACATTTCATCCTCAATTTTATTTTATTTTCAATTTATTCCTACCTATTATAAGATAAATATAATAATATTAGAAAAACTTGATCATGCATCAATAAGCTAGGAACTTGAACATTAAGCAGTTCTGTTCCTCTGCATGTCAGGTATGTTTGTCCACGGTTCTACTAATAATAATAATAATAAAACTTCAATTAAAAACTGTTGAATTTAAGGAAGACAATAGTTTTTCCAGATTTATCTTATCATATTAAAAACATGTCTATTTTAGTATAAAAATATAAAAAATAAAATAAATTATTTTTTATTTAATATTAAAAATACATCTTATATATAACTTTATAATTCCAGATATTAAAAAAATAAAAAAAAGTCTTTGGTATTTTTGAAATGTATGCCAAAATCCTCTGAAATTTTACAAACTTGTTGTAAATACTTGCAATATTTTTCAAAAAACATGTCAAAGTATTTTAGATTTTTTTAAAAAAATTGCTTCAATAACGTTATTATTTTTAGCCATATGCAAAATATATGCTTTTCCTTTTAAAATAAAAAATAAAAAAATAATAGCAATAAGACTCATGATTTGAAAAAAATAGGTCGAGGAGGATTTCAAACATACAAAAAATTAAAGTTGCAATTTTGGATGGAGTTAGGAGTGTAATTGTATCCAAGATTGAAGAAACAATACGGATTCAAAATCAAATTAAATAATTATTGAATAAATTTGCATAAAAATTAAGCTTAGAGACATAATTAGATGTTTAATAGGTCAATTTGATTTTTATCATTGGTCCAAGTAAAATTTTAATTATGTTTAAGAATTAATTCGGGTCAAATTAAATGATTTAATTAAGTGCAAATACTTAATTATGCTTTAAATAGATCAAATTAATTTTATTAGGGACTTAATTGGTAAGAAATGAATTTGAAAGCCTAATTTGGATTTAATTGAGAAGATTGACATTTTAGAGGACCAAACTTATTTTTTACAAAATTAATTGGTTGGCATCAAGGGTAAATTATAAGAAAATAAAAGTTTAGGGTCAATTAGGGGTTAAATTGAAGAAATTCACAACTAAGGATCTTTTTGAAAAAAACATCACACTCTAGGGACTCAATTGATTGAAATTAGGGGTGAAATTAAAAAAAATTAAAAGTTTAATAGTAAATTTGCATAAATCCAAGATCAAGGATCAAAATAAAAAAAAAAACACTACAATTCAAGGTTGATATTAGAATTTGGCAAGCAAGAAACCGCATAAAATTAGAAGTTTTAGGCCAATTAAGGATGCAATTGAAATAGTCAAAAGCTTGAAGGACTAAATTGAACTTTTATCAAATCCGTAAATTAAAACACTAAAGCCAAATCAAAGGTATTTTGAAGATAAAGAAATAAAAAAATTAGATGACATATTGTTTGATTATAGTTTATCACCTTTATCTTTTACCTGAAATAGTTGTTTGGGTGACTACTTTTTAAGAGCATTTAATACTTCTTCTCCTTACTAAACCGGACAAACCATGCACCGCCATGGTGACCTGACATTTTACTACACTCAGAATAGGTCTTGTTGACCAATGACCTCTATGGCTACCACAATGTCGCCCTATAATAACTAACCTGACTAGTTTTAACATCCTATAGATCATGATGATACCTTTAAACTAATGGTTAAGATCCTTTCCGGTTGAATTAAGGGTCAAAATTTTTCTTTCACCCCCTATAAATAAGTGTGGATTTCTAGGTATTAAACATAGAGAAATCAAGGAGCGAAGTGGGGAAGAAATCATTTTTCCTCTGCTAGCATTATTCTTTTTCTCTCTCTCAGCCACTATTTCAGCTTCAACAACCATCTAAGAATTACCTATACACACTCACCAACACTAGGTCCTTCACCAGTGATCGTCGTTCACAACCAACGTGAATAATGGCATCACCATAAATTTGTTCTCTTTTTAAATGATAATCCAATAATTGCTACCATCACTTATCATGACGACCACCACCACTTCCTTCACTAAAATTAGAAAAACATGGTTGGATAGTTATTGAGAAGTTCTATCATTTGACTCTATTAAAATAGTAATATTATGAAAAGTGCAAGTGATATTTAAAAACACTTAAGAAAGCCTTCTAAAGGTTACTTGAGTTGTTTTATACTTGCCCATCTATAAGTATTGTTGAGAAAAGTTCTAGTCTTTAACATGTTAAGAAGATTGTATAAATATTTGATTCTTAGCTTATGCAAAAAAATTGAATCTAATTTTAACTTTATAAAAGGATTGAGATAGATCCTGAACCTAGAAAGGATTGAGATAGATCTTGAACCTGGAAAAAGATTGAGAAAGATTTTAATATTTGATATATATAAAAAAAATTATGTAAATGCTTGGTCTTACTCATTTAAAAAATTGAGTGTGATAATAAATACTTGAACAAGGGTTCAAGGAATGAAATAAAGAAGCCACTGTAAAAATATTGGAATACCCTTTCTTAACTCAATCTTTTTATTTGTTAATTATGTTGATTTTTTTTCATCTTTAAATTTGTTTCATTATTGTTTGAGCTTTTGCTCATTAGATAGTGCTATAAAGTTGTTTTAAGTAAAGAAAAAAGCCTTTCTAATTAGCAATCTAATTCACCCCCTCTTATATGTGTAATGTTTATCATTTAATATATATATATATATATATATATATTTATTAGTTTTTGTTGAATATTAAATAAAAGTTAAATAATAAATAGTTATATGAATACTCAAAACTTGATAAATAAAGTATGAATGTATAAATTTATTATTCGATGAATTAGGGTATAAATTTTAAAAAACCTAACTTATGAATACTCATTGCCATCCCCAGTAAGAATTACCTTAGAAAAGAAAATTCCTCACATCACAAGAGGTCTTATCATCTTGGTAATACTTCTTGCTAAACCAACAACGTGTTATGGACGGTATCTTAAACGTATTCTTTATATAAAAAAAAAAAATTGAATATTATATGGAATTACATTAAAAAATGGTAAATTAAAATTTATAAAATTGGCTATAGCTTTTTAACGAGATTACTTACAATGATGTTCCAAATTATTTTATTTGTATTTAGGTCCTCAAATCAACATTATTCAACGGGTCAGTCAAACATATGACAACTGAAGTGGTCAATTGTCACCATTTGAATATGGTTGAGATATAAATAAATAAATAAATAAGACGTGTTCTTGGCAGCTTGACCTAAGTCTGTCGTGTTGAATATATTATGAATTGTACAATTTTGTAGCTAGTTAAATGGGCCTGCATGTGAAATACACCATGCAAGCGGAAGATGTCCACATGGGAAAATATACAGGGCCAGGATCATTTGTTGTTTTGTACTGGATGAAATGTAGCCGTGGATGTGCATGGACGAGAGGCTCTCGTGGTACGTATAGACTTTTGACTTTACTAAGAAGTCCTCTCTTGGAACACAACAAAGAATATTAAAATCATTCTTGAAGGATTCATGGAATTATATAAGATAACAAAGATGAAGGGCAGATGCGAAAATTATCTTTGAAGAGTCATCCAAATGGGAAAAGTCATTTATTTCCTGGATAACGTAATCCCTCCGTTAAGTTATTTTTCTATCCAAAATACCCTTTAGACTATATATTAAATTAAAGAAATGCAGGGGTATAAAGTTATTTTCTTATAAGCTAGCAAAGCTTCTTAAGGCATCAGCCATCATATAGACTCCAAGGACCGAATTATGATTTCTTAAACTAAAGGGACTAGGTTGTTGTATCACTAAAAACACAGGGACTAAATTATTATTTATTCATGATGTTAAAGAATTGAAGAATTTAATACAGGCGAGATTCTACTTCATAGTTTTGTCCTGCTTCGAGAGCATCCCTTCAAAGCTGTTTTTTTTTTTTGTGTACAGATAAGAAGAAAAAATTATAAGTGTTATGATTTCAGAAGTTTTATCTGCTACTACTTAGAATTTGTTATATGTCAGGAACTTAAAAATAAATTTCTCATGATTTGATTTAAGATCTAAGTTATGAGTTATCCCATCTCTAGAACGAGTAATAACAATGATGTGGGATGCGGCGGCTCTGGTGAAAAAAGTGGGGCAGCCACATACCTTATTTCCAAGAAGGTGGAGGAAAATCGTTCACTGCCCTGGGAGAACTTTCAACGCCACCTGTTCTCATCACAAAGTCGGTTCCGTAAGCGTGTTGAACTTTTCCTTCTCTTCATGACCGACCTTTGTGCCAAGCCTAGCCCAAAGAAAGGAAGAAAGATTTCTCACTGGACTTCAAACTCCTCCTCCTTGTTGCTGTTAAATAAATTTTATCTGCTTCAATGTCTGTGATAAAAGTACTTGTGCATTTATCTTCTTTCTTGGTCGCTCATTTGTTCATATCAGGTAAAGTCGAGAAATCTATTTCTGTTTCCAGCTCTGATTCTTCAACTTATTTTATTAACGGAGTTGTTTTTATGCTATGTTATTGCTAGCAGGTGTTGTTTCAACAACATTTACAATAACAAACAAGTGTAGCTACACAGTTTGGCCAGGCATTTACTCAAGTGGAGGTTCAGCATCTCTCTCCACAACTGGTTTTTCCCTTGAAAAGAACGAGTCAAGGACCTTAACAGCACCAGCTTCTTGGAATGGGCGGTTTTGGGGCCGCACGTACTGCACCGAAGACTCGTCAGGAAATTTCTCCTGCATCTCAGGCGACTGTGGCTCCGGCAAACTAGAATGTTCAGGAAACGGTGGTGCTCCTCCTGCAACGTTGGCAGAGTTTGCGATTGGTGGTTTTAATGGCCTTGATTTTTTTGATGTTAGTCTTGTTGATGGCTTCAACCTGCCTTTGCTTGTTGTGCCTTCTCGTCAGAACTGTACAAGCACTGGATGTGTGGCGGATTTGAACGAATCATGTCCGTCAGAGCTTAGCGTTACCACTAGTACAGAAGGCAAGACTGCGGGATGCAGGAGCGCGTGCCAAGTGACCGGGTTGTCGATGTTTTGTTGTAATGGTACAAACGGAACACCTGATAAATGCAAGGCTTCTTTGTATTCTCAATTCTTCAAGAATGCCTGTCCACAAGCTTACAGCTACGCTTATGATGATGATACCAACACTACCTTCACTTGTGCATCCACCGATTATCAAGTTACATTCTGCCCAGGTAAATATGCCGTTCTCCAATTTGTGTAGTTTTATTAATTTTGTATTTTGTTTCTGATGATGTCAACATTTAGAGGTAGTTTTGTGCCTCTGAAAGTCGGTGTAGTGTTCACAAACCATGAAGCTTAAGTTACCATAAAAGCTCAAAGTATACTGCAGATACTGCTAGAAATTACATCATAAGAATGAAGACCTGTTCAGTATTTTAGCAGTTTTAAGTACATGTATGTTGGGAACTTGGGATCCATGTACGAGTATGGCTATAAAAAAAGAAAATTACAGAGCCATGCCAGTGATGGGAATGAGAACATAGTTTCATTCTATCATTTCTTTTCACATAAATCCACCATCTTTTTGGTTCCATAATAAATCTACTTCAAAATCATTTTGTTTGGCAGGCAACACAACGGTTATCACAGAAAACAATTCTCGTCCATCACCAGGGGAGATAACACCAATTCCTTCACCAGAAATAAGGCCTAATACTACTTCAAGGAGACAATGGGTGCCAATTATAGCAGGAATTATGGGTGGTGTTCTTGCCATCATTTCTTTTGTAGTTATTATTGTTTGGAGGGCTAGGCTGAGCAAGTCTAATGATACTGAAGAGGATGTGGAAGATGATTATATAAAGCAAGTTCCAGGAATGCCTGTCCGG